CGGAAGGAAAAGCGATCTTCGCTTTGCCGTTCGAATAAAATAGCGGAGATCTCACCTGTACGAGACAGCTGACACCTTCCATGATATGTTCCGTCACCAATATATCACCAAATCCTTTGATTTTGTTCTTCTTCATCAGTGTGTCCAAATTCTGGAAGAGAAATGAAGGTATTGAGTTAACTGTAAACTAGACTCCAATGAAACGTACTCTCTGCTGTGCTGCAGCCTGCTCAGCATCCCTTGCAAATTCGCCTTCTGTACACATAGCAACCAGAGTCAGACCCTACAAATAGACTTCTCACCACGTATATCGCTTTTCGATAAGAACATCCAGGAAAATGATCGATTTGTGTCAGAATTATAGTTTCAAGAACCATCTACAGCAGTCAACAAGTTAGAGGAGTCAAGTTGTAGGTCCAATAAGCTTTTCAGAAAATCTGAATCACTGTAAAGTGATCTGACCTGGGTGCCCGACAGGAGGCTCGTCGCGCGGCAAGAAGGCAGAGTCAGCGGACGAGTCGCAGCGCGTACTGTAGTGATTTCGCGTCAAGTTAAATAATGTACCATTGCACCCTACATCGCACAGCACGCGCTGCAACTCGTCCGCCGACTCTGCCTTCTTGCCGCGCGACGGGCCTCCTGTCGAGTACCCATATGACCCGATCCGACCACTGCCACAGAACGCATAAAAACGCACGCATATTTTGCGCAGCTGAAGAGTAAAACGGTAAGGGACGCGTGCGGTTGCAACGCGGTCACCTGGTCTAAATGGAGTTGAAGTCGCAGGTTTCTGTTGATATGAGCATGAATCACTGAAGAATACCGACAAAGCTTTGCTAATGGAAATTCATGCAAGCATACCGTTTATGCGCATTGTTGGTCCGGGGTAAATCATAGCGCTTTATGGATTTTTCGCGCTTAAAGAACAAGAATTTATCAAAGAGCAAGCGTCTTCGTATCAGGGCTAAACCAATTTATTTGTCATTTCCAAGTATTTATCCCTGCTTACCTTTCCAGCTTTCAGCTGACTAACAAAAGAAAGCATCCCGTGTGTGTTTGGCGAATCGGTGTTCTCTAGGAGAACCAGTAGTTGTGGCCGCCAGTTTCGACTGTGCTGGGGTTTGGGGTCGACGTTGAGCAAGGCAAACCTTAAATGACAAGGTAGTCCACAGATGATAATCCTTCCTCAGTTATTAGCTTACCTGGCAGCACTGAGGCCAAGACCTCGAATACCGTCTCCCCACTCTTTCTCGGCTCCTGCATACTCAATATACTTGTAGACGGCTGCACCGATGAAGATGCGACTAGTGCAAAGTGCCATGCCGAGATGAACATCACTGCCCCCCCACACACACAGGAATGCGCCCAACATCGACAGTGACCTGAATTAGATTATTGGAATTAACTATATCAATGGGGAAAATAAGGAGACCCGCAAATATGAACGATTAATCTTTTTGTATGGGACCGATTGAAACATTGTCATGACACATGGCGACACTTCCCCGCTCACGGTAACGGGTCAAATACCAGAATGGGGTCTCACCCAGACCAACCAAAGCCTCTGTCTCTACCGTAATAACTTCGTATAGCAGCTCGTGTACAGATAAGATGTGTAATTACTTTCTGCATACGCTGAACCCGCCGAAATTCATTTATAAGCTAAATTACTGAAAGCAAACCTGGTTGAGTGGTTCACAATGCATGGCAGATCCAAGAAGCCATCGGTCAACGCCGCGTGTTTTATTCTTTGCCTCCAAGAGACTCTTTACGGCGCTGGAATTCCTAGGTGATACCAGACGTATTTTCTCTAACAGTTTATTGCTCAGAATATTGCTTTTGAGCTCAACTCTGAGGTAGCTACCCTGATGGGTTTAACCGCTCTAGAACCACCTAACGATTGAGTCAGAACCTTTAGTATCCAAGGAAATATTTGGTTAAACCCGAGGACAAGATCTTATTGGGAGTTATTCTTCGTGTTAAACATTTTTTTGATCCCAGAAAAGCAATCGTCAGGTACATAATGGAATTATCATTCCGAGGCTGAGTGTCCAAACGATCCAACAGATAATAAGCTTTCCCAAATACCATGGATCTTCTTTTTCAACATCTGCCGTCATTCCACTTTCAGCCACCCTAGTCAGCTTTTTCTAATATAATTATTTTTCGGCATTCACTTCATTTACTCACCAATGGAAATACCGGAATGAAGGTCTCCAACCGGGTGATTTGAGCAGAGACTGCAAAGCGCATGCGGTGTTCACGCCCCAAATAGCACATCAGGAAGAATCTGGAAAAAAAGCAATAACTTTTCAACTAAAAACCGTAGTTGCAGACCGCTCGCGGAGGAAGAAGATTTCAAAGCTCCATTAATTTCTTGCACTTTCTTCCCTATCTGAAGCAATGACGAAAAGAGCTGAAGAAGAGTCAATCCCTAGAAGGATAATCTAACAATGAAGAGCGTCGAGTTTATTAATAAGTACGATGAGGCTATATGATCGACGTTTGAGCTGAAAGTCTTTCAAAGCATCGCTGCATATGACCGGTCCCTTCATGGAATAAAATTCTTCGCCGAACGGTAAAGTAAAGTACTACAAAGTAGTACAAAAATGTATAGAAAGAAATTGTTCATGATTCGATCAGCCGAGGCAAATAATTTGCATTTATAGTTTGAGAAATTGCTGTTAATATTAGAATTATATGCAGAGCTTATAGTTAGGACAATATTGAGCCAAGTAAGTACCACCTTTAATCACAATTTTGGCCGCATCGGGGATCGCACCAACAAAGTAACTTCTCGCTTTTTTGTAGTATGAACACCGTCACGAAAAAGAAATGGTTATCTCCACACCCTCGTCCTACAATATGCAAGAAAATGTTTTGAAAAAAAAAGCGCGGCTTGACCCTGCAAGACCCGCCCCCCTCGCTCTGAGCAGGCTGACGTAAGTTATATTTCGCAATTGCTGCGATTTTATCAGCAATATCAGCGATGTCAGTAAAATTAACGTTCAATTCAAATATCCTTCAATTGAATTTGCGTTTTGATATTATATTATTTGAAAGGGAAGCAACTAGCAACATTTTTTATTCTGTAGGAAGAGTCTACCATATAGGAAATAGGATTTTAAAGTTCAACTGAACTGACTGAGTGATTAGTGCAGTGATGTTTTCGATGACGGCGATAAGAATTCCCATCCAACAGATCAGAATTGTGACGAAGATGGCCCGAATCGGCTCTCCACGGCTGTCCATCTTCCGGAATGGTTTCAGAAACGGAATCACATCATCTGAAAAGAGAAGATCATGTTCCAGAATAGTACTTTACTTGCAGAAAAAGTGAGTTAAACATTTTACACTACATTTATAAGTCTCAACGGCTACTCGCTTTATTACTATTTTGCATTGCTACTTGAAAGTGAATATTTTGTCGTCTACAACATTATTTCTTACTGTAATCCCCCATTCAATCTGTTTTCCGTATGATGTAGCAAGCAAACGATAACCTTTAACGGTCTAATATTGTGCACTACTTTAGAGCGCCGTATAGCATTTTCAAGTTCCATTAGAGCGAATTCTATAATGCTTGCCAAGAAAGACAATCAGGTAGGTCCGGCCTTTTGCAATGAGGTGTACACGGTTGCATTCGCCTTGAGACATTGAGCTAAAAATTCTACCGTAGTGTGCCCAGCGATGCTCTGAACGGAGTACGGAAGTTTTCTATCACTGCATTTGAATGCTATTTGAGTCCCCTTTGTAATCCAAGCGAGGGCCGTGTTGTGCGGATAGCGCTCCGACCTCGTAGGTGAGAGGTCATATGATCGGTTCCTCGTACTATCCCCATAGGAGGAGCCATTTGGCAAAGATTCTGTCATCTCATACCAACTAATGGATTTGGTGAAAGAAAGTAGGTATTGCCAAACCGGCGCCAAATTACGCCGAGAATACATATAATTCTGTGTCCAGGAAATCGAGCTACTCCGGGGTAGAAATCCTCGCGAAATCTGAGAGTCCGATCCACACTCAAATGAGTGGTCTAGTGGTACTTGTTGTGGACAACAGGGAGCTCCGCTGGAAATGTTGTGATAGTGACGTCCATTGACAGCAATATCCGGAATCACCATATCATCCTAATGGTCAAAACCTCAATTGCGCTCCCAGACGGAGCTTCAGGGACAAAAATTTCTTTGGCGCCCACTTGGTTGTGATCGAACAGTCCGAGCCATGACTGGATCTTCGAAAATGCTCCCATTTTCTCAAAAACACTTCGCATACCATAGCAAAGTGTTTTTCGAACGTGCAGAGGATTTTCGAACAAAGCAAAAGCTCGCACTTGCAGAGGAAATGAATCATTGGCTTCCACAGCATGAGTCTATCTCCCCAAACGTTTGGCCATAGTCTCGCCTTTCATGAGGTCAAGACAGTATGAGCAATAGCGCGCTTTTCTTCCAGTAACTTCAAACCTCTATAGCCTTACTCGCAAATGTTCGCAGCAGGTTTCGAGAGAGATATGTCATGAGCGCTCAAAGGCAATTAGGTTAGTATTTGTACAACCTCATACGACCATACGACTTAACATCATTTCCTGGTTAGTCCTCTAGGAAGATTTTGAAATTATTCTATTGATTCTAAAAGGTTTAAAAGTTGTAATCCGAATCATTTACATATCGAAGGCTTCGT